CCTTTCGCTGCTGTTCAGTGTCTCATTGATAAATTATTTTGGGTGTTTCTGTATCTCAAACCCATTCAAAATCTACATTTGTTTAGTCTAAAAACTAACTTAACAAATACATTTTTAATGCACCATCTGATCTAAATATACACTTGTGTTCAGTGTAGAAAGGTGAAGATTCTAATTTTTGTCTACCTACACGCAGCAGCTTGAAGGTGTGAATACCACAAATACAACTTTAATCTAAAGCATTTTGACAATCCCTTTGCAAACATATCTCATCGTAAGTGTGAATGCGAAATTTTCCTTTACAAATGAAAGCTATTCCTTTCCTATAGAATTTCTGAGTAAACGTAGTAAGATCTCTGGTGTGGACCCATGCCTTATCAGGTGTGTTGTACAAATACCCAACCGTGCTAAACATGCGCACACACATGTGTATCATAGAGGTTCTCAGTTTACTTAATGCTTTTATATATGTTCCAGGGTTCCAGTGAGCCATGCCTGATATGAGAAGTACACACTGGGGTATCTCTATCCCAACAACCCTGTTTGTGTAACCTATATATATATTATATTGATGAGAGAGCCCCAGGGTCTTTACCTAAAGTCGTCAAAGACACGTTCTGGGTAAACCATGCAGTAAAGAATGTGTCAATATGGTATATAAATCATGTGTGACAGTGATGTATACCACAACGGATGCTTCACAATAACGTAGTTAGGAACCAGCATTTTGTTGGTATAGGTATTTAGATTTCTCGTCATATCAGTATTTTCTTTGGTGTTTAGGTTTGTCTGTTTGTTTGTTGTTTGACGTCGTACGGTGGTCTCTATATCTACCTTTGACCTGACAGTTATGTTGCCATGGTGATAACATCTACACCTGACCCGATAGCGTGTTGCTATAGTTATATTATCTACCACTGACTCGACATGTGGGTTGCTATAGGACAATTACTAACGGATGACCCAACATTTTGGTTGCTATGGTAGTTTTATCAACCGATGACCCACAATTTGGTTGCTTTGGTAGTTTTATCAACCGACGACCTGAAATTTGGGCTGCGATGGCAGGTACATCAGCCAATGACCCAACATGTTGGTTGCTATGGTAGTTGTATCAACCGATGACCAAACATTTAGGTTGCTATAATAGTTTTAGCAACCGATTACCCACGATTTAGTTGCTATGGGTGTTTTAGCAACCGACGACCTGAAATTTGGGTTGCGATGACAGGTATATTAGCCAATGACCCGACATGTTGGTTGCTATGGTAGTTTTATCAACCAATGACCCGACATTTTGGTTGCTATGAATGGTAGTTTGCTTTCCTGGAAGTTCTATCAACCAACGACCCCAAAGATGTGTTACCAAAGCAATAATATTGACTAGAGAGAGGATATGTGGATTACTGTAGTAATAATATCAAACGCTGGAAAATGGGTTATTTTAGTAACAATATGTCAAATGTTTTATGGTCTTAAAAATAGTGATTCCTGTGATCAATTAATTCACCTTTGCAACTGGTAATTCATTTCTATGATAAAGTGTGAATTAAGTTATCAAAAATACTCCTCAATGTTTATTATGCGACAATGTCAAGTTACAGAATATAACCATAACATGCATAACCATTGTAATATGTCGAGACATTTTCCAATAGCTACAAGTGTCTTGACACATGAGTGGTATTTTTATTATAAGGAGAAACTTATTTCAGTGTGATAATAATATTCAGTTTTGACTTGTAAGGGTTTGGCTTTCTACCGCTGAATGAACGTAGTTCTTTGAAACATATATGCCCGTGATTGCTGAAAATTGCCATCGATTGGATGTGTCTATATTAGTTATAGAAAAACTTCTTGACCACCCAGACCCACCAGGACATCAGACTACCGGTACCAATAGTGGCAGCCATATAGCTAATGTACTCACGGAGACAAGGAATTACAGTGTTAACAAAAAAGGCTTGAATTCTTCGTCAATGTATGTTACCGTAACTGATTACGCTTAACGTGTATATTTGTTATCCGTGGTGACATTGCCTTACAGATGAATTCCATTTGAGTCCCATTACAAGGCCAGGTTATAAAGGTTGGATAGATGTTATTTCTACTACATTTGGAATGTAATTCATGATTAGCCATGCTTCACAGGCTACCATGTGATCAGCAGAGCCACGAATACCACCTACATACTGAACATAATTACTACATTCACCTTTCACCATGGGCCAGTGACCCTGATCCGTGGACATAACGTGTTCGATTTCTCCTCATGAGGTGGACACATCGTACAAGATTTCTCCTCATTAACGATGAGGCAAAAATAGAGATTTCTCCTCATTGAGGTTGACAAAATGCTCCAGATTTCTCCTCATTAACGATGATGCAAAGATGAAGATCTCTCCTCATTGAGCTTGACAAAATGCTCCAGATTTCTCATCATAGTGGTTTACGCAATGTTCAAGATTTCTCCGCATTGAGGTTGACGCAATGTTCAAGATTTCTCCTCATGATGTTGACACAACGTTCAAGATTTCTCCTCATGATATTGACACAATGTTCAAGATTTCTCTTTACTGAGGTTGAAAAATGTTTGAAATTTCTTCTCATGAGGTTAAGACAATGTTCAAGATTTTTCCTCAAGAGGTAGATACAATGGTCACATTTATCCTTAAATTTCTCATGTGGTTGATACAATATTCAAGATATCTTCAATTAAGGAAATATTTACCATACTGTCGGCTTCATGATGCCTAGCTTCTCATTCAGATGTGTTTAACTAATGTGAACTAAAGTGAATAAATTAAATATATTATTATGTTCGCAATTACTCTTCTCTGTTGCAAATATGTGTAGAACAACATTTAACATACCAGCCAAACCTAAATAGCACATCTTGTTATTCAGGGAATATGGATATAAACCATTTCTTCAAACAATTAGTTAAGATAATATAAGTAGGGCGTGTTCCAATATAACGTTGTGTGTTTATGGGACCCAGTTATATGAGACGAATAAATCTCCATATTGTCAGGTCACCCTGATTGGAATGTTAGGTATGGAAGGAGCAGGCAATCGAACACGTGGACAAATAAGAGGACAGGTCCTAATTTAAAATTTCATTATTTTATCTACATAATGTTTTCGTTTTTCTTTCTTCCAATCTGTGTCTTTCCACATAATATTTAAATACATTCCAATTCATATATGCATCGTTATCTAAATAAAGAGGTTGTCATCCATTCAAATTGCTTTTTATTCACAGCATATAACAAATAATTGTCCCATGAACAATAAAACGGTTGCTCCTCATCTATTATCACCTGATGACAGATTGTAGATTATTTAAATCATAAACGTGGAATACTGAACAAACACCATGCGAAAGAATGTATCGCCTCAAGCCAAAACGTTCGTTGCCCTACTGTAAAATGGCAAATGATATTCAAATATGTGTGGGATTGAGCTGCCACATTAAAAAGTATCCATGACACTGTGTTGATCAAAACTACAACTTGTAAGATACCAGTAATATTCAAATAGGATTGACAAATACATTGAACGTGGACCTACATTTCCCTCCATCCAATAGCTTTATGATAATGATTATTTCAAGCGTTGGCGTGTTGAAGGGGTGAACACAAAGTTGCCGTTGGGAATATCTATACCCTTTGAAAATTGAACTGTGTCGGATTTAGCGAGGTCAGCAGATATGACCTTATTACAAATCGTGTACGTCGAACTGCTGAAGTGAAATATCCAATGCTGTAAGCTTGAATAAAGCTGTACTGGGCTGAAAGGAATCATGTCGAAACGCTCCAACGGGCGTTATGCATTAGCATGATAAAGATAAGACCTAACTGAAAGGAGACATATTTTGTTAGCTCTGCTTCATTCAAGTAACAAGTCTTCCGAATAACTAGTCCAAAAAAGTAAAACATACTGCTAAACAGAAAACCTATATCTGTAACTATGTATGTTTCTTGATAATCGTATAAACCTTTATTCACAGCGTACATTTCAAATATATGTTGGGACGTAGACGTACACGTATACATGCTTCTCTTAAACTTCCAGCAGTCTGACTTTAGATTTGCTGAATACATGACAGTACACGACATGCTTGCTCTCTAAATAACCCACACGAACAGCCATTCGAATACATATGCATGATTTTCTTAACCTGCTTTCGTGATTTGAACTTTTTTCAAAGAATATCCTTCTGAAAAGAAATGGCCGCCTCGCAACCTTACATATGCACGTTCATTGAATGATTGTTACACTGACAACGGTGACATCTGCCTACTGAATATAGCCTGCAAATCCGCAAACGACCTCTCACTGCATACACCTAAACTCCATTTGAATTTTCAAGTAGAAAAGTATTGTATTGTGAGCTGAAAGGTCGCGCATAGGCGTTTCACATGTTACATTTACACAATTTGACACAGTTTCATTAATAACTGATGAGGGTAGTTGATACTTCTGGCACTCCCCCATTTTTAACTGGATTTTGTTCTGTTTAATCACCTTTATTAGAAATGAAGAACTGATTGCACGACAACCTCGGGACGCTTTAGTCATGGTAATGTTTGTCAATCGGGTGGTGTGGGAAAGGGCCACGTATAGGACTGGAAGCGAGGATCCTCCTCACTGATTATACATAGTGAGACATAAATGTTAACTGGAGAATATGACACACTATATCTGTATTCATTCATATTACCGAGTGGGTTCATTAAATGAACGAATATTGTTGTACACCGCAGTCAGCAATATTCCAGCTGTATCGCGGTGATATGTATACATTCCTGGACTTGCAAATTAGTGATTGACAGTATGAGCAACTATACTCCATCGTGGCGCACTATGAGGTCACACATTGTAACCACCCAATCCAAATAGCTGGCTCTTTTTATAAATACCGGGGACCTGTTCTGCCCCCAAACCTCAACGGGTGCATTACACAAGGATGTGTCATAATAACGGAATGTTCTTACCATTTCTGCTGCTGCTGCTGCTGCTCCTGTGTTGATGTGCTATCCTATCCACGGTGTCGAAGGTGATGTCTTGGTTCACCCTACTCCTGAACTCCGACTGGTGGACATCCTCCTCAACCCGCTCCTCCTCGAATTTCTTATAAAGGTCAGGGTCACTCTGATACAGAGGATTGTCCTTCTGAAGATGGAACTCATTGTCAAACAAATTCAAATTGTCATCAAAGTCATCTTCATCCTTGCTGGGGTCAATTTTGTTTTTGATTAGAATTCTACCCCTTTCCACTTTCAGGTCTTCTGTTTCGTCTGGTATCTCTGAATGTAATGGTTCCCGGCGAACAGTGTATATTTGTTGTTCTACTCTCTTAACCTTTTCTTCACGAGCGTATTCTCCATTCCCTTCATTGTCGGAGCTCACGATCTCGGTCCCCGTCCCTGAATCGGCAGTCATGTCGTGTGAGAAGCTTCTTGAGAAATTCCTGTTAGTCTTGGGTGGAGATGGAGAGGTAGATCTGAGGAAGAACGTCTTCTCTGTTTTAAAATTCTGAGAGTTGGATCTCCCAACAGGCCTGTAATCATCTTTGTCGGGGAAGGCAACGTAACTTCTAGATTCTTTTTCAGGACTCAGGCTTGCAAAGGAAGAGCTCCTTTGGTTAGTAGTGTAATCTGTAGAGTAATTACGTCTGTTAATGTCTACGGAGCTCTTATGCCATTGCGGCTGACTCAACACTCGGCTGTAATAGGGCTGAGGAGATATGGACCTTACCCGTTTACTTAACATAACAGGCTCGCTATCTTCCACGCGACTTGGGCTAAGTGTCCTCTGAACATAATATTTAGTTTGTTCATCTCTTCTCGATCTTCGCCCCTGCTCGGGAGACGATGGGTATTCACGTTCTATCGAGGATCTGCGGTGTTTGGGTGACGTAATCCGGTACTTTCCTCTCCTCTCTTCATCGGAGTCTGAGGAATAGCTACCCCTCCGGCCTCGGGTGGGCGAAGCCCTGCTGTCCCACATGCTGCCATTTGTCAGATTATCCTCTGATTTCACATTCATCACTGTGTACACAGAGTTCCGCGTAGAAGCGTCAACAGACCTGCCTCGTCTCGGGCCGGGATCGACGCGTATGACAGTTGTGTGGGATGGAGATTCCCTGCGTGTTAGTGAGTCGTCAAAGTAACCAGAGTCGAATCTATGGGGACTTGCCACCCTTCTGTACCTCGAGTCTCGCTGCTGAGACCGAGTGGAGAACTTCCGCGACACAATTAAGTCCTCCGATGAGGATGTTTTTGCCACTCGGTAGTTATGTTCAGGTTGTGTAGCGTTGACATCGTCGAATAGTGGATCTGTACTACTGCTACCGAATAAACTTCTGTTTGTAACTCTCCTTTGAGATTTCTTAGATTTGTCAGAAGGGGTCACACTGGTAACTCTATATACCTGCTGGGAATCGTCTATCTCTGGTGTATGGTCCATTTGTCTTCTTGTTAGTGCATCTTCGTTTCTAATATTTGACACTCTGTACTTCGCGCCTGTGTTAGTGTGCTCATCGTCTTCTGAATCAGAAAGATTTCTCGGCCCATGTCGGCGTTTTCTGACGGGAGACAGCCTGTCATTTGTAACCTCCAGTTTTGTAACTGATTTGTAATGCTTCTGTTCACTCCCAGATCCAAATGAATCACGGGTTCTATAAAAACCGTCCTGTGTGCTGTCCTTATTGAACAGCTCTTCGGCGGGTATCGTCGTAGTGACCTTGTATCGCTCAGAGCTGCGATCACTTCTACTATCGCGAGAATTGAAGACTGGTTCATTATACACTTTACTGCTGGGTGTGTGTCTGACACGCCATAAATCTCCGTCTTTGTTGACAGACTCTTCGTAGTTGAATGCTTTGTGTTGATAAAAGTCAGGCCTTGTTGGTTGGTCCTCTACATATTCGTAGATTGTTCGTCTCTCCGGTGAAGTTTGGGTGCGGATTGGTGATCTTATCATTCTATACCGAGGACTCTCCCCAGGAGGAGAAGCCTCCGCTGACGTACTCTTAGATGTCTGAGATCCATACTGGCTATCTGCGTCTCCAAAAGACACGTTGTTGGTCCTGCTTGTCACTGCGTCACTTGATGTGAAATACGTCTTCTCAATATTTGGACGACTGCCTTTCGGTATGGAGTCGATACGTGTGATGTATCGAGTTCGTCCTCGACTTGCAGACGAATCTGCACGATCCAGTGATGAACTCTTGATTTGCCTGACACTGTAGGACTTGGTACCTCGTCTGCCATCCGAGGATTGACTAGAGTCACTGTTATAGCCGTTTGTAAAGCGAATACTGTCATTTGAATTCATAGAACTATTTCGAAAAGAATTAACCGTCCTGTTATTTTGATTCCATTCCGATCTGATATCTCGTTCTTGGGGGACATCGATCATCATATCGACCTTTTGGCCGATCACCGTCGACTTCGTCGTTGTAACTGTTACACCTGTTGCAACGTCCTGAATCACAGGTTCAACAGAAGCTGCAGCGACAGCACCTCCGTGGTTGTTTGCAAGTGACACATTATATGTAGAAATCTGCCTTGTGTCTGTTGCTGGATAATCTGGGGCTGGCGTCATCAGAGCTAATGCCTGGTTGCCATTGGATGCCATTGTTATTGTCCTATACCCATTGTCACCCCCCACTTGTACCTCGTCGCCGTTTTCCATCCATGCTTTGACTTGTGTGTCTGTCGTCTGCTCGGTCCACAGCGGGCGATCCTGTTCATCTGTGACAATATTCAAAATTGTCTTTTTATAGACATCTTCATGTAGAGCCATGTCGGTATCTGCACTTCTCAGAACCACGGCACTGTGATTATTCGCTTGACTTGCCATGCTATCTACATCCCGATCCGAAATCACACTTATCCCGCTCACTGTCACATCGCCTCGCTCTAGTGAGTCGTTTTGGAAATCAGTCACGGCCAATCCGCGATCAGCCGTGTTCAAACTGTCAAACAAGTTGGAAAGTACTTCTTTTGCTTTACCATAATTCAAATCAGAGCTGTCAACAGAAATCCTTGTTGACTCTGGTGTATTAAAATCAAAACTACGGAGGCTGCTCTGACCTGTGCCAAAAGTGTGACTTGTATCTACATCACCTGACGTAAACACCATGCCTAACTGATCAAATGTAGCTGTCTGCCTCGGCTTATCGCTGACATCCTCAACAACATACAGATCCCCAACATTGTCCTGAACAACATAAACACCACTGCTCGTTTCCTCAGTGTTAACGCGTGGTCCTGATGCCCCGCTTGTCGAGCGACTGTGTCCCGACACTCGACCGTGTCCCGACACCCGACTGTGTCCTGATGCCCGACTGTGTCCCGATGCTCGACTATGCTCTGAAACTCGACTATGCTCCGATGCACGGCTGTGTCCGCTTGCACGGCTGTGTATATCAAAACTTTGCACTTCACCCATAGCAGCCGACATGTTTGATGAATATCCCGAAGATGTATTCATAAAACCATTTGAAAGCACAGGCGTATTTGCCTGGCTGTTAAGTTCAGACGCGTGAATAGACCTCACATTCATATTTGTACCTACTTGGGATGTTTCATTATTCACAGGTTCAACCTCTGAGTCAGATTCGGGATCATCGTCAAAAAATAAACTACGAAATCCTGTGTCTTTTTTCGTCGGTTTGCTGTCGCCTGCTTTCAAATCTGCGTCTATTCTTCCAGGTGGTTGCTCCTCCGAAACCTCCTCAGCTTGTTTACTGTCAAAACCTATCGGAGTATCTGAAGCAGACGACACAGCAAGCTCGCCCCGCTGTGTACCTGATTCGGTCACGTGACCATGCGAAATGCTTTTCCGCGAACTCTCGCCGTCAAGTCGCTCATCAGGTCGGGCTTCCCTGCGACTATCAATCACTTCTTCATCCCCAGAAGGCTTGCTGTAAGAATTTCTTTGCTCTTCGGTGGAAGTAAACGTGGTTGACTTTATAACAGGCTCATCTTCTTTCGGCAAAGATAAATTACTGTCTTCAGATTTGTCTGTATACGTCCCCGTTTCTTCTTTCTTCTTCGTGGCTTCAAAAGCCTTCTTTTGGTTGTCGTGCATCGTTTTCAGGCGTCTGTTCAGAAAAGCAATGATGTTAGCCCGGGAGTAGGGGTTGGAATCATCATTCTCTGAATTTTCCCATCTATCAGATCCAACTGTAGACGTCGCATCATTATTTACGGGCGCAGGTTCCAAACTCGTTTTAGCTGTTACACTGACCTTTGCAGGACTGTCCACTTTAAGGTCGGTGCCAACAACGGCGTCAGCCGACATTTCAACTACATCCACCCTCTTCAGCGGTGTGGTTGTATGTGTCGGGCTAAGCGGGGCGTCGTCTGTTTCGTCAGCGCTGAACATATCAATGACCTTTTTGTAACGCTTCATTTGCTGCGTTTTGGTCATTTTGAACAATTCTTTCCTTCGTTTCTTTATTGCCGACGGTTTAAATTCACCATCACCTAGCTTGCTGTATATTTGTTTCAGTTCATCAACAGTGCCTGGTTTGATTGCTGAACGTGTGGTTTTAAGGGGGTCATTCCATTTAATCACCTTCAAACCGCTGGTTGGACTGGTGACAACGCTATCATGGCTGGAGGAGTTATGTCCCTTGGATTGTTCCGGCGTGTCGATGCTGTTGCTGGCGAAATAATCATTTTTGGGAAGAGACAGTGCGTGCAACTCATCCACTTGACTGCTGTTGTCGGAACTGATAGTAGTTTCCCCGATAACAGTTTTATTGAAATACCTCAAAGTCTCATCCTCAGATTTGTACTCAGATGATACGTCGGATTCGGTTAGAGACCCGCCTATTGGACGCCCCGAAACAATTATAGTCGGGGGTTGGGGTGGTGGTGGTGGTGTAGGGGGTGGCGGTGGTATATATGGTGGTGGTGTAGGGGGTGGCGGTGGTATATATGGTGGTGGTGGGGGCGGTGGAGGAGATGGCGGTTGGGCTAGTTGTCGAGACGTCTGAGGGTAAACCGCTGTCAGTTTCTTCACTGGCGGGCTCGATCCACCCGTCATCCCATTGCTAAAATCTTCCAATGTTGGGGAGTGAGGTCTTTTAACATGTAGAGACAACGTCTGATTTTCTACTGTCTCATTTCGGGAGGACGTTCTGAGGGGTGGTTCGGGACTTGGAGGAGGTGTGAGATCAGGAGGGGAAGACGAAGGTAGGAGAGGTGGTGGGGAGGGAGGGGTAGATTGGAAAGGGACATCTGCGTCTGATGCCGGTGGGGGTGACGTTGATGTGTCGGATATGTCGTCAGTTGCTACGGTGAAAGACGAAAGTGAGTCTAAGATGTCGGTTGTAGATTTTAAATCGTATGACGTTACTTCCGCATCATCGTCGTCGTTGTCGTTGTCAGGGGTGAGTTGCGGTGGCGTTGTGAGCGTATGCGACGCTGACTTCAAGGACAGTGTTGTCGGGGAATCATATCCCTGGGAAACAGTGTTTAGAAAATACGACATTACCTCGTCAGTATCGTCATGGCCAGTGGGCCGGGGTGAAGGGGGTGGGGTGGGCAAACTCGTAGTCATGTTCTCAAATTCCCGGGGCTCATTTTCGGAAGTATCCATGTCTGTGTCCGCTACAGGATAAGAGCTCTCAGTCATATGAATCTTGGTCGTGAGTGAATCTGTTTCCGTAATAGTATGAGTGGATACTGATTTTGTGGACGACCGATTTTCACTGTCAAAACCGTTTTCGTTAATTTCAGGAATGACGTCGCTAGTCATGTCTGTGTCATACTCGTTTGGCAAGGGCGGAGGGTCTGTAGGCTGGAGGGTTGGGTCAGATGTGAGGGTTTGGGATTCGAATTCGAGAGACACAGATGAGAATGACGCATCAGGTGAGACAGTGTGTGAGTTCGAGACACTCGTGTTCGCAGACGACATTGAAATTGGCCTGTCAGAGAATGTTTTTGTCACAGTTCTTCTGCCACTAAGATTATTGCCTTTACTAAAACTGGTCCGGATATTGCTGGAAGAAAAAACCATCCTTGGCTTTCGGCCTAGCTCAGCAGAACGAACAACTGAATCCGAATGAGTTCGTCTGACTTGGTTCTTGATTCCCGCCAAAACACTGGATGGAATTCTGGGAAGGGATACACCAACCGTATTCCGTCTTTCCATTTTGAAGCTGTATTCCAATAACGGTAATTAATCCATACGAAAATCAGACGTTAACACCACAATTGAATCAGTCGGAGAGGACGCGACTGACGGGGAGTCGACAGCGTCTTGGAGCCTTTGGTATCCAAATCTGGACATTCAGAATCGTTCAGCCATCACAGACGCTGAAAAGAAAACAATATCATAAATACTTCATTTTAAAAGAACAGTGTTCAAATGCCCAGAACTATCAATATTTAATCTACTGGAAATTACATTTCTTTATAGCGTGGAAAACCGGTTTAACGTTTTGAGATTGCACACAATAACGAGGTGTACGACAAGGACGAGTGAAGACGTGAACAGGTCGTTACTTATTGTCGGTCATAACATAGGCAGATATAGCGTTGTCTGTTGCTTTTAAGTAACCTGTCTGGTAAATTTACATATTTTTCGCATAACATTATTAACATATCAACAACGTCGCGATCCCGCATTCAATACTTTTTATTTTTTTGGCATAATTTTTGTCGACATTGAAATATAAAAGATCACCTCTTTTACCGTTTGAAATCAAATATGTGAGATACAAGTATGTTATTCAAGTCTTGGCGTTTATTTTGATTTTGTCGAGATTAAAATACACACATTTTATATAAATCTCCTATGGAAACTTGTATCGAATTTAAACGTTCATATCAAATTTGAGATAAATTGAATTTATTACATTATGTTTATGCATAACTATTTATAATCAAATGATGGCAAAGACTGAAATAAAATGGAACATAAAGGCGTAATAGTTGTTGCTTCTGATATAAAATGGCTACACAAATCACTAAAAGCAGTAAAATAATTCTGTCAGAATTATACAGAATTTCTGCACTTCCCGCTTTTATGATCCCGTCTCTGTTAACTACATAAGAATATTACTGTTTGGGTCAGTTGGACTGCCTGCTTAACAATTTAACTAAATATTTTACTTGTGGTTTAAAATATCACTTTTGACCCAGTAAGGATACACGGAGTTCACCATTCCCATCCTTGCTGGTGCCATTACATTAGTAAACGTCAAAGGCATCCGTCACTCATACCCTTTCACCTTTGAAGGTTTTTTAATACAGACAGCTCGCTCTCCCGTGAAACGGCTCTAGACCATGTAAAAAGGTTTCACATAAGAGGTAGTTAAAAACGATAAGTATGTCCCTTAAATACAAACTTGACGTTAAATAACATATGAGCTAAATATAGGCATCACTTTATTTAGTGAAGCGATGAGAGGGAACCCATATCATGCAATATGCTCGTATGGAGATAACACCGCCCTTTTCGCCAACAAATGTCATATCAGCTTACACTAACATGAAACCCTTTGAGGCTGAACAAAACAAGACTTACCTACACTCTGTGTACAGTGTACGACACGAAGACATCGGTCGACCCGGCTTCATATCACATATCTAACACTATCTGTACAGCCCCCGTGTATATTCACATATAGGGAATATAATGATATACAACGCCGCCCAGCTGAGATTGAAAGCTCATTGTTTTATTGGGGTCACGTATGGAGAAGAGATCGGATAACAGCTAGCCTGTCCTATTCAGGTTAGGGTAAGGAGGTTGCGTTAGTAACTTGAATACAATAAAACTGGTAAGTTGAATGAACATAGCTTGGCGTCTTATCTGGAGATGATAACTTTGACGCACAGAGTAATGTTCGTTCAGAACAACTTTTTTTTTAAATTTATTAATTTATGAATATATTTCTGTCTTATAGATGTTTCTTTTGTTTGTCTTGTATTAAACATATTTTATTGACAAATATGGTCAACGGGATTGGGAAAAGGTTATCCAAGTTAGGTGGCCCTTTCCCCAATGTATTTATGTATTTGTACATACATTGATATTATATATATACATGAATTTATATATATATATATATATATATATATATATATATATATATATATATATATATATATTACAATATTACAATATATTACAATATTACAATATATATATATATTACAATTCATAGTAACAAAGAAATATTTTTACATGAAAAATAAAAACATGTTTTTTAACATAATGTTTGCAAGAACATAAACGTACATACAATGCCTATATAAACACATTTTACTTGTACATACACATAAATACGAAATGCATAAATACACATGCAAACCTTCATATATCATTACACATACATACACATGTATATATGTACATACATGCACACATACTCACACTACATACATACATATATACATACATATACACATGTATACATAATACATGTACACTCATACATATATATACATACACACATACATAGACACACGCACATTCACATACATACAGACATATATATATATATATATACAGACATATGTTCACACATACATATAGCACATACACTAACATATACAAACATACACACACCCGTTTATATTATGCTCACAGACAGAGGCAGAGATACCCATGTATTCATATACATGCATGCGGTTTATACACTAATGTCGTAATTAATAATAAGTGGTCGGAGAGCGATATTCTACACTTATGATAAAGAGTTACTCGAATCTATTTGTCGTTGAACGCTGTTGAAAATGAGATTATTGTGACCTTCAGCTAGCGATGCATAACCGTAGAGAACATTTTGTATTGTACATGTAGTTCCAGCTGTTAAAATGCGAACATGATATTTCTGCGTAATTGGGACATTCAAGAAAGAAGTGTTCGTTGTTTTCACATGGATTTCCACACGAACGGGACAAAGTATCAGATAAATTTACTTGGAAGAGTTCTGCGTTTCGGGAAATGCAGGAATGCCTTAGGCGTGTATGTAAAATGTTAGCTCTTCGGTTGCCTGTTAAGAAGTATGGAGGTGGAGGTGGAGCTGCAATGGTTGTTTCAATCATATGTTAAAATTTGACAATGATGTTGCACTTCTGTAATCAGTGAGTAACTCATTATTTCGTTTATGAATAGCAGATATAATATCACTGACATCCGATTATATTAAATAAAAGCGACGAACCTATTTTCATAATCGTATGAAATCTGGGCAAAATGCCGAGTCCATTGTACGATTCCGACTATATCATAAGCATATGTTAATGAATCAATATAGAAATAGAGATGTTCGCGAAAAGGTGAGCGTATCCTGCCCCATCCGTGGCATCCGTCACAAACACATGCACAGGCAAGTTAAATGTTCACCTGAACAAGAACCAGCGGAGCATACGGAATAAGTCAAGTAGCGAATATCATCGGCCATCATTGTTGTCACTGATACGTCAAATGTGGAAATAACCCCCACATGTTCAAACCCAACACCATTTCACCTCACCTTTAAACTGTTACCTTACTAATCTAAACGCTGAGATCGTATTGTGCAAATGGATACTGAAGTAACGGTTGTTTCAACACACACACTTAACCCCTTCCCCGTTAGATCTAACTGTCATTAACACAGGGTGGATCAACAGCTGTCGACCTCTGCCTGTACCAACTGATGTATCTGTAACAATGTCTTCAGATAATCACCTTGCCTGATTGTTGATTTGGTAGGTGCTTCACCCTACCACTACCTCAAGACTCCAAGTCTCGGGAGAAGGGCATGAGATTTATGGATTGTTAAACTGAGATATATTTAGACACTGGGTAATGCGACCTTTCTGACAGACATTATTTGAACATAGAGGCCACTTGACCCAGAGTGACAAGCAAACAGTCAAAAACTCAATGACTTTCATCCGACACCGAGCTTACCCGAAGCGACATAACTCAAATATTCCAGCGATATCACGTCACGGGACACGGATGGGCTTCACACGTTGTACACATGTGGGGAATCGAACCCGGACATGTGGACAGCGAATGTTTGAACCACTACATTCCCCTTTTTGCCCGTATCACAGAGTACCGTCGATGTCGCGCAATCACAGTGTATGTTTACAAACCGTCATGGTATATTTGGAGGAACGAACGACAGGGCATAAACGTGTATTGCTTTGTTGGAACCACGACCAGATTTACATAAGGACCAGACCCTTGAAGATCAGGGCTAGAATAGGTCTTCATCTACCCATGCTTGCCGTAAGAGGCGACAAACGGGATCGGGTGGTGAGGTTCGCTGACTTGGTCGATACATACGTGGATCGATGCTCTTGATATCAATCACTGGCTTTTCTGGTCCAGACTCGATTATTAAACAGACCGCCGTCATATTGCCGGAATATTGCTGAGCGTCGTTAACCCCCCCCCCCCTCCAAAAAAAGGGACCTACTCGGGGCGATTCTCGGAGTTGAACCTACAACCAGTCCACACCGCCAGCTAGAGGACGCACTGTTACAAAGCATGCTATTGATCACGCACAGATATATAAAGCTGGGCCCGTTCCACAAAGCGATTGTAGCGCAAAGACGTTTGTAACTCCCATGCTTTAACATAGATTTACGACAGTCGTAGCTTTAAGATCACTTTATGGAACGGGCCCCTGAGATACCAAGTATGGATATAACAGGGTTGCCTTCCCATGACTCTTATGTTAATATTATAAACCATACTCGAAAAAGAAGAAATGTCGATATTTAGTACAATTTTTATATTTACGTTCCAACCTAATTCAACCAAAACCGAAGCCACTGTGTTTATGAGTGCCTGGCTGTACGCTGCTTTAGCAATATTCCAGGTATATTACAGCTCGGAAATGTACCCATCTTGGGAATCGAACAAGCGTTTCCGGCGTAACGAGCCAGCGCGTTGACAACAAGGCTACCCCACCGCATCTGCCTGCTCTTCATCATTGTTTAAGGAAACCGTGAAGCTCATCGCCGGTAGAATTGTGTACTCCGTGTCATGCACGTCATGCTATAAGCAAGCTCTGTTCGGCTCTGGCTGGTTGGGGAAGCCCTGTTGCTAAATCGAGGAATCGACTACCTTAATTTGATGCACTATGTATGGAACATTTCCGGCGTGATATTGTTGGAACATTGTCAAGAGAGGCATAAACCCCACCCACTTTCCCTGTTCTGATTTATGAATAGTCAATAACAAAGTCTCAATAGGATCACGAAACAAGGGGAGATAATCCAGAACAAACTTATTCAGATAATCCCAAAGTTTATGTTCTGCATGAATCAACCGGCAAATCTGTTAAGTATAGGATTAAACACAGTAATTCTTTGGTTACAGGTATTATACTCCACCTGGATATTTACACTTGAGGTGTAATGAATTCCGGGCACGACCTCACTAAATGTAAGCAGCTTATGTTCTCATCAATGAATCACTTAATACCCCAGCAGTATCAAGTAGCCTCCAGTCGAGTAGAACCACGTCCTTCAGGAAGTGATCCCGTGTTGTTGTACAGTTGATCAGAGTATATCGGTCCGCGCATGAGCTCAGACATGTCACATGTATATAAACTTGTTGTTCTTGGTGTAATCCGAACCATGCCAAATTACCTCCTGCTGCTAAAGTATAAGGTTTCAAAACAGCTAGTATTCAGGGCTACAACCGTTCATAATGCACAGCAGGATGTATTTGTATCTTAGTTGAACGTCTGAACTGTTTTTACCATAAATAAAAACGACAAAACCCTTTGCATATTCACGAGAAGTGGATGCAAGTAGAGTCGAGTGTACGATTCCGACTATCATAAGCTTGTGTTTATGAATCACTACCAAATAGTGATAGTAGTAGGCGTTCGAGAAAAGGTAAGCGTATCCTTCCCGCCCTAGGCACCCGTCACAAATAGTCAAGCTGGTTAGGCGTATCATCAGCTCAAGGCCCATGCAGCCCAGACAGCCGATGGGACTTCTCCCAGGAAGCGTTGCCTAGTCAAACCCACCCAGAACTTTTCGGAGAATGTGAAGACTCCCCAACACTGCAGCCTTCTGCATTACCCAGATTGTCAGAAGGGATGTATTCCTGGCAGCAAACCCGGGTACTCTCCCAGTGTCAGTCAACAGATTGGGAGGTACCAAACCTAAGGCACCGAGAACAATGGGGAATCGGACAACTTGGTACTTGGGATGCAAGTGTGACATTTCGAAAGCGAGGTCTGCATATTTGCCATGTTTTTCCTCAATCTTGAAAAATCACATTACTGTCAAAAGGGACAATAAATTCAATGATATAAATGATTTCATTGGATTTATAAAAAAGGACAAGATCAGGTGTGTTGGCCTGGATAAGTCTGAGGCTGTATACGGGCCTATTCCAAAGGATTTTGTATTTATCTTTTTCCATGACGCCCGCTACATATTCCGGGTCGTACCATGGATGGACCTCTGTTTCAAAACCACAAGCATGGCGAAGACGGTAATAAAATGATCGAGCCACCCCATCGTGTCGCTTAATATACTGTGTCTGTGCCAAAGCTGGGCACCCACTCACAATGTGTTGGACAGTTTCATTAAATTCATTACATAATCTGCATTTCATATTCACATTTTGATGCAAAATCACACTGACGGTTTCGAGTGGGAATTGACTGGTCCTGAGCAGCAAACAGAAAGCCTTCTGTTTCACTTTTCAGGCCAGACGACATCATCCAATCGAAGGACTCTGCAGGATTGCTGATCTTCTCAACACACTATACATACGCTCGTTCAGAAAACCTCTCCTTCGAAAACTGAGTCTGGGCCGATTTGATATGGCACTTCGCGTGCTTGACACTCATTTCTGTACCGTCCAGCGGTACAGAACCATCAACAAAATCAACACAGACATTGAGATTATGTCCCACATCCTTGACTCGTTTTAGAAAACTGTGGAATGCCTTGTTTTCATCATGAGTCTTGACATGCTTCACAAGAAGATCATCAGACAAATAAATGTGTGCAAAAGTGCACAAAACAATTCTATCATGACGAGCCTACACATTAATCAAACCACGCCCTCCCATCATAATTGGTAAATATAAGCGATTGAGGGAAGAGCGAGGGTGGTGGGGTCTATTGTCTGACATGATTCTTCGTGTGAGGGTGTCAATACCCTGAATTTCTTGTTTCGTCCAATCAACAACACCAAAAGAATACGAAAGGACGGGCACAGCATAAGCATTTGTGGGTTTGACTTTATTGCGAGCGTTCAGCTCTGAACTCCAGATTTTCTTTAGTCTACATTTGTACCTTGATATGGGCATTCCGGAGTTTGTCCTAATCTGCACCCCTAAGTACGTATAGGTCTGACTTTCCACGAGATGGTCCGTAACTCCTCCTCCAAGTAAACTGACTGATCCTCCCTCTTCTACTTATTATTATTATTATTATTATTATTATTATTACCCTGGAACATAGCAACACAACAAAGTAAATAACAAATTCGAAACCTCGACTAACTAGTAAGTAACAAAATACAGTTAAGAGAAAGAAACGAACACAACTGACACGAATGTACGCATTCAACACAACAGAAGATAGCTTGTGTATAGATCAGACCGTGTCAACAAGAAGCTGTACTGCAAGGTATGTTTGCTGACAATACAAGAATCACAGTGCCTATTCAACCACTGACGCCAATCCTATACGAAGGCATGCGGTGCGACGTCATGGAGTTGTAAAAGAGATCAACAATGATTGAAGTACCTTGAAATGACGTGTTATTAAACACCACAGATTACCCCGAGACATGTATAGAACTCACCACAGGGCTAAACAGGGCTTGCCTTTCACTTTGCCGCGAGGGGGTTGTTCACTACCCCATGGAGGCTATCTAGGCCACGGCTGGTGAGGTCAGGAATGCAGTTTACCGATAACACACACAGTGACACTGGTAACAATGGGTAGAAAATCACACATTTACCTGACAGTGCAGTCACATTATAGCATGTTAAGTCATAGTACGTCCATGTACAATCCTTCCATTGCCAGGGATTTGGCTTTTACGGGCAGAATACCTTCCCTTTACTTCACAATCCGATTACATGCAAATGCAACTAATTTACTCTTGCTCAAAAGTTATTTGATCAGGGTTACAACATTCAAGGCCTCAACAAAGCTATCACAACGTGTCATTGTAGAAACGTGGAGGTCATTTCCAAATTTGACGCATTTGTGACAAAAGTGATGTCCGATGCAATTCGCCATTTTACCGTGTACAATATGTTCCCGTGCTGTGTCAGGTGAACAATTTGCTTCCCTTTGCATGTGTTTGTGACTGGTGCCACGGTGGGGCACGATACGCTCAACATTTCGCGAACACCTGGTATCATCACTATTTCACAGTGATCCATAAACACATGCTCAGGCTGTAGTGGGAGTCGAACACTGGACTCCGCACATACATACACACACACACACACAGACATACACACGCACGCACGCACATACGCACACACAGAGACATACACACACACTTACACACCCACACAGACATACACACTTACACACACAAACACACACAGAGACATACACACACACACACACACACACAGACATACACACACACGCACGCACCCACGCGCACACACAGACATACACACTTACACACACAAACACACACACAGACATACACACACACGCACGCACGCACGCACCCACGCACACACAGAGACATACACACTTACACACACAAACACACACACAGACATACACACACGCACGCACGCACCACACACACACACACACACACACACACACACACACACACACACACACACACACACACACACACACACACACACACACACACAATCATTTTCCGTGCAGTCCGTTATATACATGCTTTTGACCCTAACTGCAGATGCTTGTTTTCCAGTGTAGTTATATTAACATACTGTAACGCCTTAATTAGCATATCGTGACGTCTATATTAGCATTACGTGGTCCTTAAATAGCATAATTTGACCCTTTATTAGCATACGAGACCCACCACATACTTCATACATGAATTCGTGATCAAACGTTCCAATCAGTCGACTGATAGGTCAGATAAATGAATTCAAGTTAATTCGGAAAATCTTTCTTACCCTGAAGTTGATGATTATATAACAGACAGAATACTAAAGATAAATAGAGCCATACCTTGAACTTTCCAATTTCACGCATCACCAAGCACGACATCTATGTTGGAAAGGCATGTGAGTCCCCTCTAACACAGGGTCCACATTCAAACCTTGAATTTATCAACAAAATCTTGAAGTGGTCCATGATAGAACACAGTCACAAATATCCATCTCGCTCACTGCAAGTGTTGATCTTCATGTCTATACGCTAAAGGCTCGACCCTCCTCAAGTGTGGACATGTATTCAGAATACATCCAGGAGTCTTAGCCGAACCCTCCTCAAGTGATGTACATGTATTCAGAAAACAGAATACATCCAGCGGTCTCGTCCCGCACACCCTTTGTCCTGTTGTATGCCGGGACACATGAAGAATTCAGTCTGATCTCTCCTCTAGGCACATCCGTCTCTCGCAACCATCATCGAAGGATATTTGACACGGGCATCTTTAACACGGGGATATTAGATTCAGTGCATGTGCTAGGAATGCTCCCGTGTTGTCGACATTGCGCTGATGCATAAAACAAATGAACAATAGCACCGACAATACCCCCTGTGTTTAACTGAACCCCTATTAAACCCGGTTCTCTGCCATGCTTCAGTTATCATGATTAAGACAAACCTGCTGTAGCGACCACATTGAGATTCAAAACGAACCAACTGAGACTAATTTGAAGGTCGTTTTGTTTGCAGCGGCTCTTTATCAACGTACGATATCTTTACGAAGCTGTGAAATACAAAACATGTACTCAAGTTTCTAAAGGGATAGTCCCACTGTTTGATAACTTGTAAATATTTACTGGAACATATTTACAAAGTTACTCGCCCAGTAGGGCTTCCATATTTCAGTATGCTTATGGAGAGATGAGTTGAGTATTATGGGGCGTTTTGTACGCCTATGTTAGCTATCTTCCAGGAATATCACGGTGGGGGCTGTGAGACAGACTATTCTCCTATATCAACGCTCCTTTCGTATTGTTTCAATGCTAAACATACCATAGGTAATGGTACAGTTATGCTCACGAGGACATACTTTCTGTAGTGACACCCTTATGCATGTTGAGGTACGAGACACGTGAACGTATCTGGGCTTGTTGTTTGATGCCGCACTCAGCAGTATCCCAACAATAAGATGGCGAAGTCTTTGATAGGCATTTCGAAGTTGGGAGAACATGAATACATGACACCTTTTATGGATAGCAACTTCTTTTCATTCATGAAGCATTCACCGAGCACGAAGTAGCTCTGAAACGTCGTACAAAGAATAAAAAAAGTTGCTATCCATAAAAAGTGTAATGTGTTCATATAAGAAGGCGGCATGTAAATAATCAAGTTTGGACTTGACAATCCAGTGATTAATATTATGAGCAACGATCCACGCCGTCGGGGTACGATGACACGCAATTAACCAGGCCACCGAGCCTGACCACCCGATCCATGTTGTCGCACTGTACGACAAGCATACATTGCCCGGGTCTATCTATTACTAGTAAATGTTTACCATCAGTCATTCTCAACATGAAAATGATACCATCCTACATGAAGCTGTCTGTGCTGTCAAGGTTCAGAATCAATAAGGCATTCTTGTGATTGAAAAGGAACCTTAAATAGGACATCGGTGTATCAATAATTGACAACTTTCACAGCTGCATCAATAGATGTTCATTACAGGCAACAACATCCATGCTTGTTACAACAGTACATGTGATAGATTATGTAAACACTGTGAACACGTCACAGAATCAGGAACGGATCTAGGGTATCGATCAGCGATACGAGTTCACAGCGTATGAAGAAGTACAATAGTAATTACTGCGGCTACGAAACTATTCACAGTGGCGATACATACCTATGTTTAGCAAGCATCATTTTCAAGTGTTTGGTTTTGGTTTGTTGTTTTACGCGGCACTCAGCAATATTCCAGCTATATGACGGCGGTCTGTAAATAATCGAGTCTGGGCATGACAATCCAGTGATTGACATCATGAGCATCGATCCACGCAATTGGTATAAGATGACATGCACCAACCAAGTCAGCGAGCCTGACCACCTGATCCCGTTAGTCGCCTTTTACGACAAGCATAGTCGCCTTTAACGCTTTTAAAGTAATTGCAAATGGCACATTTTGACAAGAGCGAGAAAGCAGGTTTTTGAATAGGATAATACAATCGTTAAGAAACAAGAATACCAACATCATGTTAATGTTGTCTATTCAACTATTCATGGTACCTACAGAATACCGGAAACTTATCTGCCATGTTTGTTTGATGCTTCCTATAAGGCCGCGGGGGCAATTAAGCTCAAAATAAGCAGGGAAGCTGCAACAATGCGTGACGCTAATAAGAAGGTTTGGACAAGGATAAGAGTGGTGTCAGCCGAAATAATCCTGAAGACCACAGACACCAAGGAACCAAGATCCTCCCTGAGAAAAGTTGACCAGTAGGCAGTGTCACATTAATAGGACGTGAACACAGTTTAACACTCTGTTTACATGTAACTTACTGCTGATAGTGTTTTCCCGCACACAGTAAATAAACTGAAACGTATGATCATTTTTGCATATAAAAACTGTAGAATTTGTAGTATATGTGGTCTATTATTTTTCATGGTCAATATGTTGACTGATTTTCACATGTTTAGTTTAGTACGTTTTCTCCTTTTCTACTAACAGGCTATATGTTGAACATGTCAATGTCTTAAGTTAAGCTCGTTGGCCTTCAGGCACGCGCAAGGCGGGAAAAGGAACGCAAATACGTATTTCCAGAGCGTATGGCAACAAAAGTTATTTCTTTACTTTTATTCTTATCATTCTCATCTATCGTTATACAAAACATTAAATCATTCCAGTGGGTACATTACACTTTGTTATTTCAAGAGAAACATGGTATTAATAATACATGGGGATATATGATAAAATACAAACAGTTTCAGCCAATTGAAGGCCTAGCCGAAAGGATGAAACGAAAAGAGGTCATGGATTTATATATAAGAAAAGAAATTCTCTATCATTTGTTTGCAGGATGGTCATATTTCCAAAGATAACGAAACTCTTGTGAAAAATTGATGGTGTCATTGCGCCGAACCAGTGGACTGGTCGAGATGTAACATTCCTCTTCAACAACAATTTTGAAAATATGAAATACACAAGACTTATCCTGACGATAATTATGGTAATTATATTATTCTCGATATTATGGTTGGCGGTACATAGTTAACCCTCACCACAGTGTATGATCCACACTCCGATAACCCTTTATTTTACAAAACAGTATTTGAAAAAAATGATGATATGGGTAATGACTTTTTAAGTAATATGTGGAGATTGGAACTATGTACTTGAACCTTCACTAGACTTGGACAAGTATACAAATATTAATACTCCTAAAGCAAGCAAATTAGTCTCAAATAGAATAATTGAATCTAATAGGTGCATGGAGAGAACTAAATACGAACAGCAATACATTTACTTGGTGGACAAATAAACCCTCCTCAACAAGCAAGACTAGACTTTTTCCTGGTTACTAAAAATCATTTTTATCTCACTGTTCATTTTTCAATCTTACCCGGAGACACAACAGATCACTCAGCCATTACATTGTCGCCATCAAATCAACAAAATAATAAAAAGGGGCGAGGATATTGATAATTCAACACATCATTACTACGACAAGACTAATATATAAAAATAGTAATAACATTTTCGACGAAACTAAAGATCCTAAATATGATAATAAAGGTATTAAAATATCTAAGATTTAGATCTTACATTTACTGATTCGCTATTCTTGGAGACATTTTTTATGAAAGTAAGAGGAAAAACTCATATTTATATTCTACACACTTGAAAAAATAAAAGAGAATTTCTTTTATAATGGATTTTGAAGAACAAGTAAGAACGTACTTTCAAAACGTTAGCGAAACATTGTTATCCAAACTATCAAAATAATTCAAGAAGAAGAAATGAGAGGAATTCAAATCCGTAATAGAATACAGTGGTATAACGAAGGAGAGCAGCCAACTCATTACTTTTACCACTTAGAAAACAGCCCTGAACTCTACGAATATACTTATCAATAGCTCTTTAATAATAAACGAACAGAAAAGATTTTACGAAACAGTATAGAAGTCTATAGACGATATTGACGTTGAAGATTTAGATTGTTTATATGACATTACCATTCAAACTTTAAATACTAATGTTTAGATGAAGAAATAAAAATTAACGAGATAGCTGTTGCTACTAAGTCAATGAAAAATAATAAGAGCCAGGGACTTGGTGGTTTTCCTGTTGAATTTTCAAATATTTTTGGAAAGACATCAACTATTGGATTTATCGCTTTATCAATTGTCATTACAAAAACAATTCTATGACTCTAACAATGAATAGATGAGTTATATAATCTGCATTCCAAAGCCAAATAAAGATAGACGTTTATAAAAAAAAGGTGGAGACCTATTTCTCTTTTAAATGCTCTACAAGATTATTAGCACTTGTAGAACAAATAAAATAAAAAAGACACTGGATCTCCTTATCCACGATAATCAGACGGGCTTATACCGGGTAGGTGTAATTGCGAAAACATTTGACTCTTCATGACATCACCTTTGAAACAAAAAGATTTAAGAAGAAAGGCCTATAAATATTTATTCATTTTGAAAATGTCTTTGACACAGTTTCTAAAAGATTCATTGTGAAGATTCTAGATAAATTTGGCTTTGGAACTTATTTGCAAACATGGGCAAATATCTGGATCTACAACTCTATTTCTTGTGTGAAACAAAATAGTAACTTGTCATCATTGTTCGACATTTTAGACAAGGGGATCCAACTTTCCCATTTTTGTTTCTTTTTGTGGTAGAAATGCTAAGGATAATGATAAGAAATAATACAAATATGATAGGTATAGTTCTTGGAGAAAGTGAGCACGTGATAGGTCAATACTGAGATGACACCTAACTATTTCTTGACGGCTCAGCAACGTCTCTAAATGAAGCACCAGGTACACGAAGTAACTTCTGTAGAATGTCTGGCTTAAAAATGGATATTGACGAAACTAAAGCCGTAAAGGAACTCACACTATGTTCTGATTGTTCACTATGTTCACTATGAACATTGGACTGCCATAACGCAGATTTCGATGTACCTGGCATTAAAGTAACGCTGATTTGAAAAATAAATTAGAATGGAAACAACTAAAAGAATTCGATTAAACTGGCGGAACCGCAATTGGGAATATAACTGTAATAAAACCTTGGCTTTGTCACCATAGTTCATACATTAACTGCTTTACAAAATTCCCCCAAATAATTTATAATGGAGTTAAACAGCATTTTTTTCAACATTGTGTGGAATGGAAAGAAACGCAAAATAAAAAGGATAAGCCTATTTAGAAAATATGAAGATGGTGGCTTTAGAATAGTTGATATTACAATGTTTATTTACTCACTTAAGTAATCGTGTATCAAACAATATATTTCTAAGCTACCATCTTTCAGGC